AATGACTAAAAAATGAAGAAATTAACATATGGTATGTAGTTGGTAATAGGATGTATGAAAAAAATACTCAAAATATATTGAAATTTGATCTCATTTTTGTAGAACACAACGAACTCATTCCGTCTGTGCATAAAAAATTAAAATCCAAATCAAAACAAATAAAATAAGAGCCGATTAAGAAAAATAGGGAAAATAAAATGTTTTTAATTCACAACCCTTAGATCTAGAATTTCTGTTCCATTTAAACCTAAAATTGAAGATTTGATTACTCATAGGTTAGTAACTATTGGTTAGTGACTATATCCATTCACGGTATAAGGAGTGAACATTTGGTTTGTGTTTTTTTTTGGTAACATTTGGTTTGTGTTAGAAACAGAAACTTTCTAAAAAAGGAAACTGAGATCCACAGGCCACAAGCCCACAACCACAAAAAATTAGATAAAAAGGTAAAAAATGGGGAAAAAGCTGATTATGAAATTATCGACAACAAAAGTATAATAAAACAAAAGAAGGTGGAAAGAATAACTATAAAAAAGATGCGAAGGGATGACAAGTGACAACCTTTTTGGATTGTCATTTTTACAAACCTCTAGGCTCTAGATACCTTTAGATCCATATTATATATATGGGGAGTTCAATATACTCAGGGTGATATTCGGGGTACCGCATACCTTGAGCAAGAAAATGCTATCTAGAACTTGAATTGATTGATCTTTCGGACATGATACTATACTATAACACTTAAAAATCAAAATTTAGGTCTTAATTCTCTAAATCTTATACCACCAAGATCAAATTAATTAGAAATAATAATCAACGGTTATGATTCATCCAAATATGGGGGGAAATCAATGCACCATCTTAGGGTTTATAGTTTATGATTTTGATAATTAGGACCTAGGGTTCACTCATTAAGGGTTAGGGTATAGTATCATGCCCAAAAATACTGTTAATTCGAGGTCTAGATAGCATTTTCATACTTAAGGTATGTGGTAACCCGGATTTCACCTGAGGTACCGTAGAAGATTAGGTCAAAATAGCAATGGCAATGGGCAGGTCCGGTGTGGGTATCTAGAAAACCTATATTCATCCCATGGCAGGTCGGGTAATTGGCGCAGATCAGGGCAAGTCGACCTATATGTGTATGTAATTTTAAAATAAAACGTTAGAAATACTAAATTTTTATTAAAACCCCAAGAAACAACTAAATATGATAAATATTATTAAGTTATTCAAAAGAGTGAGGTTTTACCTATTTCCAAATTCATTATAGCTAAAACATGAGCTAATAAAATAAAATCTTAAATAATTTGAGTCAAATTACATGTAATTTAGGTTGGGGCAGGTCATAACTCATATGCCCCCACATACTAAGCGGGTCGGACCCCATTCTCCTTGTTTTTATTTTTGTTATGCTTTCTGTTTTACGTGCTTCCTTTTTGGAGCTTTTCTCACCTCTTCTCTGAAGTTAGGTGCTTCTTCTTCTTCCTCATGTCCGATCTTTACAGATCTGATCATTGAGATGTTTTGGTGGTGTCAGATTCTCCTTCTTGTTTCATGTTCCTCCTCCTTGCTTCACCGTTGCGGCTTGGTGTTTCGGAGATGTCTGGGAATCCTATCGTGATCTCCTGTTGGTTTTAGTTTCAAGGAGTTTGAAGGCAGAGATCAAGATTCATGGACTCTCAACTGCTGTCCCTGGCGCTTTCATCGGTTCGGCTGCGTGCTTTTGTCTTTCAGAGGTGGCGTGTGCAAGCGTTCTTCTTTGATCTGCTTGCTGTCCGGCGGTCTTTGGGTCATCGGATCTCCCTTCATCAGCCTCTGCATGTGCGTCCGATGGATGCTCTTTTGGGTGGTAGGTGGTGGCGGCTGCTCTTGGAGATTTAGGTTGGGGTGCTAGGGTTTCAGGCCATCTGTTGGGCTTAGTGCTCTTTTAGGGATGACAACTTTGCCCATACCCATGGGTTTCTTACTATCCAACCCAATTGGGTTGGGTATGAAATCCAAATAGATGGATATGGGTAGAGTTTGATGGGTTTGTACCCATACCCATTTATTTTGGGTTGAGTTGGGTTTATATCAAATGGATTTGGGTTTGTACCCATGCCCAAATACAAATTACAGTTTGGTACCCAAACTTAATAGATATGCATATTTAGTACCTAAATTTAATTTTTTTTGCATATAAGTCCTCAAAATATCGATGGAAAATTACGTTTTGGAACCTAAATTTTTTAGTCTTACATTTTGGTATCTAAACTTTTCAAGTTTTACAAATAGGTCCAATTTTTGCATGTGTAGTTAAAACACCATCAAATAAATGGATATCCATATCCAACCCATACTCATTTAGATTATGGAAGCAATATTCATACCTTACCCAAACCCATCTATAAACCCCCAAATCCATATGCACTTCACCCATACCCAACCCATTATCAATGGGTCTACTTGGATTTGGGTATAATTACCCATGGGTGGGTAATTTGCCATCCCTATGCTCTTTGTGTTAGCGGATATAGCCCATCTTGTAATTAGCTTAGCCCTTTCGTATTATCGGCCCATGTAAGCCCATGCACTAGGGAAGTACGTAACTTGTAGATCTTACCCTAGAGAGAGCTCGGCTGTAGTATATAGATGTAGAGAGAGCTAACTGGAGGATTCATTCAGTTCTCGTTCAAAATCAGATCTCAGTAAAATCAGTATCTAGAAGAGCTTTCGCTCTTCCGTGGATTAGTCCTGGTTATCCAGGGATACCACGTAAATCCGGTGTTCAGTTTCCGTTTTCTGTTCTTTGAATTTCCTGATCTGTTTCTTATCACTTTGGTTTTGTTGTTCAGCACGTCAGTTACAGATCCAAACTGCGTTGAGTCGACTGGAACAAGGCGACCACACCATTGCTGAATACTTTAATGCCGCCCAAGAAGTCTGGACAGAACAAGATCTTCTCAATGCAGCCTTGAGGCCCGACGCTGCCGTTACCGACGAGATGATCAGCGAGCGACAACAAACGAGGTTAATGCAATTCCTTATGCGCTTACGTCCTGAGTTTGAACATGTTCGCTCTACTCTATTAAATAGGGATGATTTGAGCTTGATCGGAGTATTCCCACACCTGATCCGCGAAGAGATACGCCTAAGAACTCAGGCTCAATTTGATGTTCGACCGAGTGTTGGGGAGACATTTGCTGCTACCCCTGCACAGCAGCTGCCTAATGTTCGCTTGGATCAGTCAGCATATGCGGTGGAGAAACCTCAGTTTCACAGGAGGGTACCTAACTCTGAACTTGTTTGCCATCATTGCCATGAAAAGGGGCATCTTATCAAGCACTGCCGCCGCCGTAACTACTGTGTCTAGTGCAATAAAATGGGGCATGTTGTGCTTGAGTGTAGAACTAGAGAGAGGAACGCAGCTCGCTTTGCCGGAGGAGATGCAGCAGCCCCAGTTGCTCGTCCACCTCCTGGATACAATGCACGCCCAGCTTATGGTGTGACTATGGAAGCAGCGGGCAGCTCGGGAGCTGGGACATCCACTAACGCATCAATTGAGCAGCTGACGAAAGCAGTTGTTGCACTCCAAGAGTCGCTGCCGACAACCATCTCTTCTGCTTTTGCTGCGCTACATGGAAATGGTAACGTCATTCACCCTGGTTACTAGATACAGCTTGTTATAATCACATGACTTCTGATTCTAGTCAATTGAAAGATGTTCAGATGTTAATCACATGGGTTTAATGGTGGCAAATGGGTCTAAAATGGACGTGAAAAGCATAGGGAATGTGATCTCACCATGTATTAGTCTACGTAAAACCCTACATGTTCCTGATTTAGTTCCCAGCTTGGTTTCGGTAGGACAACTTACTGAGCATGGTTGTTTTGTTACTTTTGCGGAAAATGGTTGTATTATCCAGGATACGAAGACGGGGAGGCAGATCGGAAGAGGGAGTAAAAGGGGAAGGGTGTTCACCTGGAAGAGCTACAAGATCAATCATCATCATCCCTTGGGTCGTCGTTTTTTCCTGTTCATGAGCCTAGTTCTAGTTATAGTTCGAGTCCTGTCTTTGCTAGTTTAGCCAATAAAGTTTGGGAACTCTGGCATGCCCGTTTAGGTCATCCTCATTCGAGTCGTCTTTCATTGATGTTTAAAAAAAAATTGCTTGGTAAACAGTCGGTTAGTCATTCTGGAAATCATTCGTGTACTAGTTGTGTTGAAGCTAAAACTTCATCCATTTCCTTTCCTTCGAGTTCTACTGTTATCTCCGAACCTTTTCATGTTGTCCATACCGATCTCTGGGGCCCTTCTCCTGTCATATCTCGTCTAGGATTCCGTTATTTTGCTCTATTTGTTGATCATGCTACGCGTTTTACCTGGGTATATTTCTTGCATGTGAAGTCTGAACTTCGTTCCGTGGCTGTGGATTTTTTAAACATGGTTCAGTCAGTTTGATCGTACTGTTAAAATTATTAGATCTGATCCTGGTGGTGAATTTAGCTCACACCCGTTGCATGAAGTCTATAGGTCTCGTGGTATTCTATATCAAATGTCTTGCCCCGGAGTATCTCAGCAAAACGGGCTGGTTGAGCGCAAAAATCGACATGTTGTTGAGCTCACGCGCGCCATGCTTCTTGCGTCTAACGTACCTGGTCGTTTTTGGCCTGAAGCAGTTGCTACTGCGGTCCGATTAATAAATTACCAGGTTACTCCTGTATTACAAAACTAGAGCCCATTTTATGCCTTGTTCTCTCGTCACCCGGATTACTCTCGATTGCGTGTTTTTGGGAGTCTCTGTTTTGTTTTGTTACCTAAGCGTGAACGTACGAAATTGACGTCCAAGACTGCTCGTTGTGCTTTCCTAGGGTATAGTGATGTTTACAAAGGTTATTTGTATTATGATCCCTCTGCTCAACGTATTCGCATTGCTTACACTGTCGTGTTTTTTGAAAATCTCATGTTTCATGCTAAGGAAGCTAAGTCCATTGAGTCCCCATTTCCCATGTCTACCTTACCTGTTTTTGATGATGATATTGATTGGCTTCCTCCCGAGGATCCCTCCTCTGATGATGATCTGTCTCCCACTACCTCTCCATCCAGCGCACACACCAACAGCCCAGTTCATTCTTCTCCTGCTGCCACTTCTTCTAGCACCACCGACGCACATACCGCCAGCACTTCAACCACTTCATCAACATCCATTTCTGCCTCTTCACCGCCCACAACTCCTCCTCCTGTTCGGCGATCACTTCGAGCTACAAAGGGAGTCCCTCCTCACCGCCATGAAGATTACTCGCGCATGGGGTGGGAAATTATATTGTCCCCACGCGCTACAGTCAAGCTCGAGGGAATCCTGTATGGGACAACGCAATGAATGAAGAATTTGATGCACTCCACGCCAACCATACTTGGACCGTCATAGACCTCCCAGTCCCTTGTCCTCCGACTATAGGCTGTCGTTGGGTGTACAACATCAAGCTGCTTCCAGATGGTGAGCTTGAACGCCATAAAGCCCACCTAGTCACACTTGGCTACACACAGGAGCATGGGGTGGATTACAACGAAACCTTTGCTCCCATGGCCAAGATGTCCACCGTTCGTACTCTCCTCTCCGTGGCTGCTCTACAGAATTGGAAGCTTCTGCAAATGGACGTAAAAAATGTCTTTCTTCATGGCGATTTGGAGGAAGTAATTTACATGGAAAGACCTCCGGGATACACAGTAGGTCGTCTTGATCAAGTATGCCTCCTCCATCGTTCTCTCTACGAGCTGAAGCAAGCTCCTAGAGCCTGGTTTGAAAAATTTCAGTCTACTATCTGCAGTCTTGGTCTACAACAGAGTTTGAACGATCCCTCTCTCTTCACAAAGGTAACTTCAGCTGGAATTGTGGTCCTTTTGCTTTATGTCGATGACATGATAATTACAGGGTCGGACAATCAAGGAATTCGCCACCTTCAAGATGGTCTCAAGTCTGCTTTTCGCATCAAAGATTTGGGAGAGCTATCGTACTTTCTGGGCTTAGAAGCCAGCCGCTCCTCCAAAGGAATTATGTTTAGTCAACGCAAGTACATAACTGATCTACTGGGGGATAATCAATTCGAAGACTGCCATCCAGTCAAGACTCCAATGGAACTCAATCTCAAGTTGCATCGTGATTCTGGGGAGAGACTGCAGGACGGGTCGCAATATCGGAGTATAGTTGGCAGCTTAATTTATTTATCTGCTACCCGTCCTGATATATCCTATGCTGTGCAGGTCGTTAGTCAATTTATGACGGATCCGCGGGTTGATCACTTGGCTGCGGTTCATCGTATTTTGAGATACTTGAAGGGTACTCAGGATTGTGGGCTTCTGTTTCCCTCGACTGGTTCAGCCACTCTTTGTGGGTTCTCTGATTCTGATTTTGCAGGATGCGTCGATACTCGGCGTTCCACATCTGGATGGTGTATTCAGTTCGGAGGATCTTTCATCTCCTGGCGTTGCAAGAAGCAGGACAAGGTCTCCAAGTCCTCGACCGAAGCCGAGTATCGTGCCATGTCAGAGGTCAGTTCGGAATTAGTGTGGATTCATCGTCTTCTTGCAGACTTAGGCGTGTCCTGTCCGACGCCAATGGAGCTTCATGTCGACAACACCAGCGCCATCCGCATCGCTACTAATCCTGTTCTGCATGACATAATGAAACATATAGAAATTCATGTGCACTATATACGTGATCTGGTTCGAGATGGGACTATCCAGCTACAACATATACAGACTGAAGAACAAGTTGTTGATCTGTTCACTAAACCCTTTCCTACTAGTCGGCATTGGTATCTCGGAGACAAATTGATGCTGAGAACTCGGCATCAATTTGGGGGAGGCTGTTAGCGGATATAGCCCATCTTGTAATTAGCTTAGCCCTTTCGTATTATCGGCCCATGTAAGCCCATGCACTAGGGAAGTACGTAACTTGTAGATCTTACCCTAGAGAGAGCTCGGCTGTAGTATATAGCTGTAGAGAGAGCTAACTGGAGGATTCATTCAGTTCTCGTTCAAAATCATATCTCAGTAAAATCAGTAGCTAGAAGAGCTTTCGCTCTTCCGTGGATTAGTCCTGGTTATCCAGGGATACCACGTAAATCCGGTGTTCAGTTTCCGTTTTCTGTTCTTTGAATTTCCTGATCTGTTTCTTATCACTTTGGTTTTGTTGTTCAGCCGGTCAGGCCATCTGTTGGGTTTAGGTACTTTTTTTTGTGTGGTTAGTTTAGGTACTTTTGATTGTTGCTTTTGGGCCTTTCTATGTTTCTTGTTTCAGTCCCTGAGATTTCGGCCCAAAATCTGTTCACCCTCTAGGTTCATATCAATGAATTTCCAATGATTAAATAAAAACGTCCCTCTAAGTGTCGGAGAAAGGGACGTCGAAAATCCCTTCAGTTACCGACTGGCAGTCATCGTAGAATAGTGACCCACAATGTCGGTGTTATTCGCCAAGATCGCCGCACTAATAAGTGATCCACTGGACTTACCAGCGAAACCCACTCCACTCAATTCTTTTCTAACTACATTTCCATTCCATGAGAGCCCACGGCCGGTAATTATGAGATTAGAATGAAGTTAGTACAATATCCGCCCAACGAAAATTACAAGTGGTGAGATTCACTTGTCAACTCAAATGAAACGAAACCTGTCCTTTGCTTTGCTGCAGGACCATTTTCATGAACACAGTTGCAGCTCCAAAGGGACCATGTATGATGTAACAGGGGCATTAATGAAACGTTAGAGGAAAAATTCTACCCAAGAACTCTCGTTGCTCTAATTTAATGAAGTCATTCTACAAAATCAAAAGAAACTAACTATAAACTGGATAACAACAATTTTTCACGCATGACTTTATGGACAACCCAACTGACAGTTCTCGAAATTTCCCTAAAAACTATACAAAGAGATGAGAATTCAATAAGCTCACGAAACTCCCTAAGCAGGAACCCTCCCGGGATTTCGAGTTTTTCATTCTGAAGTGTTTTTTCATTACTTTTTTTATTGTAGTTAAGTGCTCTTTCCACGCATGCAATGACTTTTGACAGTAACCAATCGTCCCCTAAGTTTCGAGTTTTTATGAATGAGTCATGCTCCAACATGCCCATAACTAAGCATACCAACAATGTCACACGCCTAACCTATGGCAACGACTAATAATGGTTAGAGAGTGTTATAAGATCCAGCAAAACCTTCTTCCAACAACTTGAGTTATTGGGGCAACTAGTTTATGACATACTATTAGAGCTGCTCGATTAGGGCACCTCGTCGTCTGCGCATCTTGTCGTCATGAGTGATACAGAGAATCCAAGGGTCTGAACGATGGAAAGAAGTCGTCCAAGTCTGCTGATGGTACGTCCGCGTTGTACGTCGTCGATCCGTCATCAACGCTCTTCCTCCATCCGTCAGACAGTGTTGGTCACCTACACGTCGGGCAAGTCCTAACCCCCACAAATTACAGCAAGTGGGTCGTAGACATGACAGACTCTCTCATAGTCAAGAACAAGTTCGATTTTGTTGATGGGACGTTAGTCAAGCCCGAGAATGAATCTAAGAACGGTCCTTGGAGCCGTTGTGATGTCGTTTTCAAGGGATGGTTGCGTACCTCCAGTGTGAGGTACGCTACAACGCCAAGAGAAATATGATTGGATGTCAAGGAACGTAACGTTTTGGTCAGACTACCCTCACCCGAGGATAGGAGTTGCGGTATCTCGTGGCGAGCTTGTGGCAGGAAAAGCTCACTGTCTTCTTCTTTTATATGCAACTACGCACCTAGTGGGAGAAAGCTCAGTCGATTACCCTCTAGAAAAATGCACATGTGGTCAGTGCAAGTGTGGTTTGGAGCGGTGAACGAGAGCAAGGGAAGACTGCACTCGTCTTTTTGACTTCTTAATGGGGCTGGACGACTCTTTTAGGATAGTGCGCAGTTTGGGTCAACGAGGTAAGTCTTCAATAACAAATTTTCTTTAAATTTCATTAGCTAGTTAGATTAGATGTTTAGATTTTCACTAGGTGAACTGAACTGAAATTAGAATAGAATTACGTACGAAATTTTTGAAATCAGTATAAGTTTAGATTATATAGATTTTACTAGGTGAACTGAAATTAGAATTACGCATGAAATTGAATTAATATAAATTTTTTTCACTATAGGCTGGTGATCGAGTTTACCATATTCGAGGTACCACCCATATAGTCACGTACCATCCACGTTATCAAACGTACCTCATCGAGGTGAGCTTGATTAGTGTTCTGCAATTGGTCTCTATGACTGCTGATGCAAGTTTGATCATTGCGCTCACAGAGCATTGCGATCCGAGGCATCAACCTTCCACTTGCCGTTTGGTGAGGTTACGATCACTTTAGAGGATGTTGTGACATTGACTAATCTAGCGATCGACGGTGATATCGTCATAATAAACATACTAAATAAACCATGGATATATATGAGGGTTTTGGGTTCATTATGGATTTGAAAAAGACCATTGTTTGTTTCATGGATTTTATTATGGATTTTGTTAATTAAATTTGTATGTATGAAATAAACTTTATCTTTATTGTCCTCAAAGATATAAGAAGAGGGGAAAAAATATGAGGGGTAGGTGGGTAAAAAATGATGAACTTCAAAGTCTTAATCAATTCTCACATAAAGAAATGAGATTTTCAAGTATGTGGAACCCACGGATTTGGACCCTCAGTCCACGGATCCCACAGATTTGATATCTCTAAATATTTGAAGCAAACAATGAAATTTTGGATAAAGTCCATTATGTATCCAAATCCTTCACCAAATCCATCAAGCTAGCAAACAAATCCTAAGTAATCGTGAATATTCTTGCTAGATGTGGATAACCTTCCTCTGTTTTTTTTTTTTTACCAATATCACGATGAACTCAAGTAGTACTACTATAGTCTAGAAGTGCACGAAATTGTACTGATACGATACAATCACAAATATTGCGCTTGGGAAGTAGTATCAAGGCATGCAGGAATAGATAAATCATCACTAGTTCAAACTCCGGCAGGCGGAAATCAATCTGACGATAAAGTGGACGGCGGCGCCGTCGAGGACCTGTCGCCGTCGGTGAGGGCTTCCTCCACCTGTAATCTCGCCTCCTGGTTTATGGTCGACCCTTCGGCTGCCAACACGTGTAGATTATTCGAGTTCCGGCTGCAGAATTTGTCGTTGCCGTTGCAGCGCAGTGCGACGACGTTATCGTCAACTTTCACGGGCCAAAACATCGTGTTCGGGTCATCGTCACTGGTGTCGCTGGAGTCCGCCCAGATAGTGCTGATTTGATCGTCTTTCCTCCTGCACATATACATGTCCCCGGTGAGAGATATAGAGAAAATATTGTTTAGTTAAATAATGTAAAATATAGGATATCGCACATCTTGAGTATGAAAGATGTTATTTAGAGGTTCAACGTTGTCGATCAACGTTCTTCTGGCAGTCTTAAGATTACTATAACGTCGACGACAACTCTAATGACTAGTCATATCATCGTAAGGTTAAAGGCTCCAGAGAACTTTTAGTATGCTTTTATAAAATCTGGGTAAATGCCACATTTGGTCACTGAGATTACTAAATCGTGTCATGTTTAGTCACTAGAAAAATTTAATATCAATTTTGGTCACTCGAATTACTGATCGAAACAGGTCACATTTGGTCACTCTCCTGTAACCTCTGTCCAACTCCGGTCACTCGAATCATTGAAAGATGTCACATTTAGTCACTCGGATTACTGAAACATGTCACATTTAATCACTCTCCCAAAAGTTTCCGTCCAACTACATTAATAGAGTTGGACGAAAACTAACAGGAAAGTGACTAAATGTGACCAGTTTCGATAATTCAAATGACCAAAATTGATATTAAATTTTTCTAGTGACTAAACATGACACAATTTAGTAATCTCAGTGACCAAATGTGGCATTTGTCTTATAAAATCTGAATATACATTTAGTAGGAATAGAGAAATTTATGCGTATCTAAAATTGGTATGTATACCTCCAGAATTTGCCGGCGGCAATGTTTTTTATCCGAACGGCTCCAGATGAGGTGGTGAACACCTCATTGCCTACACCCTCGTCGCCGGCGTCGTTGCCGCTAAACATGAGGGGGAAAACCGGTGACCCGACCCGTTGGAGGTACACCCCATAGCCGTCCTTGAACGACACGTGTCGGGGCAGCACGGGGATGGATTCACGATCCGCCGAGACCTCGCCGACTTCGTCCATGAGGTTTTGCGTCGGGCTCTTTCCGCCGGGCGTGCAGGAATCCGTCGCCGGGGAGAGCTGTCGGAGGAGAACAGGCGAGCGGTTGAGCTGGACGTGGAGGAGTGTATATTGTGATGATAAATGAATGGGGTGTATAATATGCACAAATAACACATAGGATCCTATCTAGCTGTCTTCCTTTTAATCCTTATAATATTAATCTTTTAATTAATCAAAAGCGGTCCAGTGGAGACCACAACATCATCATCACTAATCACTGTCATCCACATAATCCTTAATTAATTTGTCGTTTCGGTTAACATTATCGGCCAAATGGCCGCGGGCCCTAGCTAGGAATGAAAGGATTATCTAAGCCTGCCCCTCTCGAGGAAAGACAAAAGAAATTAAAAGTAGACACTTGATGCATCGTCAAAATTTTGAGGGAAACACCAAAGAAGTTGTATAAAATGAATCTAATTGAAATAAATTTTTACGTTGAATCGGATCCTTTGCATTAATCAATGATCCAAAATATGCCAATCCAATACAACAAGTATAGAGTTATACCTCTATAGGCACAACATACAGCTCTATCTATCTCCAAACTTCAAAACACACTCTCTTCTCCTATACTGCTACTATACGGGGATGGATTCCCGATCCACTGAGACATCGCCGATCGACGTCGTCCATGAGGTTTTGCGTCGTCCGGCGTGCAGGAACCTGTCGACAGGGAGAGCTGCTGGAGGACAACAGGGGAGCGGTTGAGCTGTACGTGGAGTGTATGTTGTGATGATATTGAAGGTGTCAATTCTCAATCCAATTTACCAATCTATTAAAAATATCCACCTAATTCAATCCATTTAAATCCAATTGGATTGGTCCATGGATCCAAATGGCAAATTACGGTTTGGTATCTATACTTTTTATATTTTACATTTTGGTACCAAAAATTTAATTTTTATTCGAAAAATATCATTGAAAAATTATGTTTTGGTACCTAAAATTTTTCATTATGACATTTTTGTGTCTTTAACTTTTCACATTTTACATATTGGTCATTGGTTGAGAATGCCATTTGGATTCATGGATAATCCACCAATCCACTTGATCCAATCCATTTGATCCATGAATCCACCACTCCAATCAATGGATCAATCCATTTGCCACCTCTAGATCAGATGGATGGGTGTATTATATGCACAAATATACATAGGATCCAATTTAGCTAATCTTCCTTTTAATCCGTAATTAATTCTGAATTTTGTTCTAATTAAAAGGGATCCAGTGCAGACCACAACAATATCATCACTAATCACTGTCATCAACGGCAATCCTTAATTAATTTGTCGTTTCGGCTAACATTAGCTAGGAAGGAAAGGATTAATCTAAGCATGCTCCCACCAAGCAAAACAAAATAGAATAAAAATAAGAGAACAGAGGATAATTAATTATAATTAGTGGCTCTCATTTCAACCTGATCATTATCCGTGTACATATCATTGCAGTTGTCACGTTTTGATTTTATTTTATTTTTTGAATATTCCTCACATGTCATTTTCACCTCTTATTTATAGCAATAAGATGTAATTATATATCTTGAAACAATGTTCGATGATATTAACCTCACATTGGTAGTGATCATTCTCAATTCTCAACTCCTCATCTTGGTAGCTCCTCCTTAATTTTGGATATCGTAAAAGAAAAAACAAGGCCCCAATCTTCTGAAGAAATTAATGCATGTATGATGAAGAGAGGGTAAAAGAGTTACCACAACAATATAATTAAGAAGACGCAAATAAGAAGAAACGCACATACATACGATACGAAGCAAACGAGAAAGAGTTGGACAAGTTGTGCATGCATGGCGCATTTAATTTATCGCTCTCAGTCGATAGCTGCTGCTGTCCAAAGGCCTCAATTTCAGCGAGGCATACCGACTACGAGCTCGAGTGTCACCATTACCACGAGAGGGGACATCTCCAAAAGCACTGTCGTCGCAAGAATTTTTGCGTGTATTGTAAACGCAATGGCCACATTGTTCTTGATTGCAGGTCGACCCAGCGTGCTGCTACTCGTGCTACTGCCGGTTCCACAGCGGATCGCCCGGCATATGCAGCTCCCGCTCCTGTCTCCGCCGCGCCTGGACCTACTGTCGACGTGGCCACTGTTGAGCAGGTGGTGAACAGCGCACTCCAACGCTCTCTCCCGGGGGCGATCATGAGGCCAATAGAGATGAACAGGTGACATGTTTTCACTCGCAGGGAGATCATGAGGCCAAGAGTCTATCGGAGGAAAACAGAGTGGACAATGATCCGGGAGGATTGGCGGCCAGTCCAAAGTTATTTGCAGGGGATTTATGGTGAAATCTCCAATTAGAAGATGGGAGGAGTAGCGGCTATAGAAAATCCGGCTAGAGGATCCAACTTGGCCAATCTCCAATGAATCGTCGGAGGGAAGAAACAGGATGGCTAAGCATGGTGACTCGCCAACTTGGCCAATCGCCAGAAAATTGTCGCGGGGAAGATAGGGGCCGGGAAAGAACAGTTTATGGGGAATAAAAGGGGTCCATAAATCTTTGTGTGAGCTCGCAAATAGGGTTGACGTAGGTGCGGAGAGGGGTTGGGCGGTAGAACAGTGAGTTCTTGGGAAAACATCAACATGAAAAGGGTCGACCAGCCGTCAAAGTCCAAAGAGATCGTCCAAGGGGAAGAAAACAGGGAGGGAAAAAGGGGTCTATAGAACTTATGGTACACCGGCCAACAGGGTACCGGACTAGGGATGGCAAAAATCCCCATACCCATGGGCTTTTAATTATCCAACCTTGTTGGGTTGGGTTTGGAGTGCAAGTTAAATTCAAATGGGTGAAGTCAGATGGGTCAAAACCCATACCCATTATATTGGATCTACTTTGGGTTTACCCATGGATTTGGATAAAACAATCCAAATCCAAATAATTAAAAATGAAAAAACAAAAAACAAAAAAAAATCGAGATTCTCTTTCAGACTTTCTCTCTTTCACTTCCATCTCAGTCGAGAGACTTCTTTCTTTCCGAGCTGTCTCTGTAGTCTACTACCCACCGAGCACCGGCCACCGCCGTCGGCGCCACGGCCATCCCCGCCATCGTTATCCCCTCCGAGCTCCGACCCACTAGATCGCACTCGCTCCGCCATCGTTTTCGAAACCCACTCCGAGCTCTGATTCGAGACGCAGTTGATTCGAACCGCAGCTTGATTTGAAACGCAGCTTTATTCGAAACCCCTCCGAGCTCCGATTCGAGATGCAGTTGATTCGTGAGAGATCGCGACTCACCAGAGATCTGATCCCTTCCTACAAGATCCAGCTCGAGCCTTGGAACCCACTGCCTCCGTTTGTCTCTTCGGATCGAGAAGAGAGCAGAGCCTTGGAACCCATCACCTCTTTCACTTGCGCTATCCCCTCCGCCATCACTATCGTCCTCCATTTGGCCAGTTGTGCTCTCTGTCACCACCATCGATGACCGGCCACCTGCCACCTCCATACCTAGCCTCCCTGTTTCTGTCGGCTCTGGTGAGTTCTGGGCATTTAGTTGGGCATTTAGTTAGTCTCTGTTTGTTGAAGTCTACATTATTAGAAGTAATCTATCAATCTAACACTTGTTGTTTTTCCAGTGAGTTGTGATTCATCAAATTCCTTCTTGAGGCTTCCAGTTGTAGACTTCTAGTGCTTTTCGTGTCTGCGGTCTGCCTTTTTGGAGTTGGTTCTAATTACTCCCACTTCACTTTCGAGGTAAGACGTGTTTCTCTGGTTCTAAAAGTTGAAAGAGTTAGAAGTTAGAACTAGAAATATATAGTTTACTGTAATCTCTATTTCGTTGAATGATTGGGCTGTTTCACTAGTTTGAATGATTGCTTGTTGCTTGTTTGGTATTTCTAGGGAAACATGGCTTCAGAAACTAATGATGATAATCTCTTAATGAATCATGAGAGTAGTAATCCATACCAACCTAGTGTGTCTTCTAGTCGTATGGTATGGTCTTCTGCAAAGCAGTGGTCTGAGGTATGGAAGGAATATGATCGAGTTATGGTTAATGGGTTAAGAAAAGCTGAATGCAAACATTGCCATAAAAAGCTTGTTGCTGAATCCAACTCAGGAACTTCTCATTTGCGCAATCACTTGTTTAAATGTCCAGTAAAACATGCTGATCCAGTCATGGTGAGTGGACTTTTGGGTAGTAAGAAAAGGAAAATCGGTATGGGGAGTTCGAGTCCTGTTGTTTTTTACCAAGAAACTAGTAGAAGAGAGCTTGCTTGTATGATTGTTCTCCATGAATTTCCTCTATCGGTTGTCGATTATGTTGGTTTTAGAAGATTTATATATTCTCTTCGGCCGCTGTTTCAAATGGTATGTAGAAATACAATCAAGAGTGATATTTTAAAGATATTTAAAGAGGGGAAGATGAATGTAATGCATGAGTTGGAAAAAATCAGCAGTAGGGTGGCGATAACTACTGATATGTGGACTTCAAGTAATAAGAAAAGAGGGTTCATGGTTGTTACTGGCCACTTTATTAATGATGCTTGGGTTCTTGAGAGTAGAATTTTGAATTTTATCTATGTTCCTTCTCCACATACCAAGGATGTTCTCTGTGATACATTACTGGATTGTATGACGGAGTGGAAGATTCAGAGAAAAGTATCAACAGTGACAGTAGATAATTGCAGTACTAACGATGCTATGATTAGAGCTCTTTTAGGAAAGTTGCACGAAGATACATTGTTACTAAATGGTACTCTATTTCATATGCGTTGTGCTGCACACATACTAAACTTAATTGTGCAAGATGGCTTGTCTGTCATTGAGGATTCCATTAGGAGGATTCGTGATATTGTTGTGTATTGGACTTCATCTACTAAGAGAAGACAAAAGTTCAATGATGTATTAGGCAGACTAACAGATATTGATTGTTCAAGAGAGTTGGTGCTTGATTGTAAGACTCGTTGGAACTCCACGTATCTCATGCTATCCACTGCTTTGATATATAAGGACGTCTTTACTCTTTTGATTGTTAGAGATCCACATTATGTGTGCTTTCCAAGTGAAGAGGAATGGAATATGGCATCTGAATTATGTTTGAAGCTGCAGTTGTTTCATGAAGCTACAGAGACATTTTCATGAACTAATTATCCCACAGCTAATACATTTTTCCCTAAGGTTTGTGAGATCAAAATAGCTCTAAAGCAGTGGCAGTTGAGTCCAAATGTAATTATTGCAACCATGGCTGAAGATATGTTGGATAAGTTCAATAGTTATTGGGAGGTAATACATGGAACGGTGGCTGTTGCAGCTATATTGGATCCAAGGTTCAAGATGAAGTTGTTAGAGTGGGTCTTTCCACATATTTATGTTGGCACATATGCCTTTGAGCTAAACAGGATCCGAAACTTTTGTTATGATCTTATGAGTGAGTACAAGACTAATGAACCTAGCATGGATTCTTCTTCTTCTTCTTCTTCACTGCCACATCAACATGCAACTTGTGGGTTTCTTGCCAGCTTTGATTCTTATGTTGGTAGTACTAGATCTAATTGGAATGTGAAAGAAGAGTTGGACAAATATTTGCGAGATGCTGTGATCCCAAGGAGCGAAGACTTTGATGTTTTATCTTGGTGGAAGAGTCATGGCCTACAATATCCAACCTTAAGGATGATTGCCAAGGATATTCTGGCCATTCCGGTGTCAACAGTTGTCTCAGAGTCTACGTTTAGCACAAGTGGAAGATTACTAAACCCTCATCGGAGCCGGCTTGATTCCAAGACTGTGGAAGCTCTTATGTGCACTCAGAACTGGCTTATGAATGAACTTCGTGGTGAGAAACTATTTGTTGTTGCTCTTATTCTTGTTTCAACTGTGACTGCTAGCATTTTTTGTTATTTTGTAGAGCATGATGTATGCATTTGTAGCCATATTTGAGTCATCTCAAAAGTGACCGTCTCATTACTGGATTTGAGATACAGCAGCTCTGGGGCACAGGGTTCTGAGATACAGCAGCTCCCATTGGTAGCAGTTGTGAAACAAAATCATTTGACATGCCAACCCATAAACAGAAAAACAACTGCAGCGCACCTGAAATGTAGAATTAAAATCAATAACCAGCTATACCAATCCAGTAATGAGATGGCAAATGCACACATCAAGCTACACGACTCAAATCTTATATATATAACTCTTAGTTATAATTATGTTATTTTGCAGGTGTAGCCATATTTTCTCCCGATGTTGGTGGTTCGACTCAAACCATCTTCTATGAGAATGATGGTGGTTATGATGAAGAAGTGGTGGAATATGAGAACTGAGAACCATGTCATTAGATTTCTGCTCCTGTAGTATCTGGTTAGGACTCTTCCAAATGTTTGTTTTGGTTGGTTATTGTAGAGCAGAACATGTGAAGTGTTGTCTAACTAGTCAATATGCTAACTGACTAACTGTGGTTTGTTGTTGTGGATTATTGTATTGCAGTTGGCGCTAATGCTGATGATGATAGGATTGATTTGCTCTTGTCTCAAGTGAGAGGAAAGGACTTATTGCAGCTGCCGAGGCAAAGAAGGAAGAGAAAGTGGAAGAGAGTCTTAACTCATATCAGTTGTTGAACTTTAGTGTCTCATAACACCAAATATTGTTAACTTGAAGACTGGCTCTTTTTGTCTTTCTTTGCTTCTTGGTATGGTATTGAAGGGTTTTAGTTCATTTTGTTTATGGAGGAGCCTGTACAACTAGTTGCATCACTGCTATTTTGTTGCTCTCTGCAAAATTTCTGATGAAATCTGGATTTTCCTGTTCTGTTTGTATCTATTATTTGATTAGCAATGATTGATTCCCTGCAACGATGGTGTATTTTTTACCTTTCCTTTTAGCATCATTGCAGTTGGTTGTTCAACTTGGCCTAAAGTTAAAATGAATGCACAGATCAAACTTGTGATGATTTCAGATGTGGAAGAAATTTTCCTGTTTTTTAATTTGTGCAGAGGGTTAGGTTTGGATGTTGATAATCCTTGAGACCAAGAACTTGTGGGCAGCTTGAAGAAACAATGCCAAATCAGCTATGGTTTGCACTGCTAATGATTTGTCAGAATGGAAGGACTTCCCAAAGGGTCTTAAGGTCCTTCTTCTGGATGAGGACGTCAGTTCAGCTGATGAGATGACTTGGGCCCTATTCACATACCGAATTGGGGAACTCAAGAAAGTAAAGCAAAAACATAGGCCTAACATTAAACTGAAGCTTCATGGATTTGATAGTCTCTAAGCATTGGTCTATCTTGCTTGTTTCCAACTTGGCAAAATGCAGACTTCCTTCAATAGCAGGACGCTTCTTTGCACAACCACCATTTGCAGAACACTCGTGATCCTGATCATCACCACTACCACTACTATCGCTTCGACAGAAATATACTGATTTTATTAATGATCCTGCAAGAAGGGGAAACAAGAACTTGTAACCATATGGCAGCAAAGAACCCTTATACATTCCCAATTTCCAAACAGTCGCTACTTCTATACTCTCAGTATGACACAGGAAGAAACAAATTGTGGCGAACCCAGAAAAGTGGAGCCGGGGGAACATTTGGCCCCAAAAGACGAACTTTGAATGAATGAAATAGTACCGCATATACAGCTGAAGCACCGCTCCAGGTTCACCGACGAACCGGGTCCCAGACTCCCAGAGTCACCAGCGACGTTTTCCGGCTCCGACGAAGTTGAGGCACGCTCTAGGTTCACCGGCGAATCGGGTCCCAGACTCCCAGAGTCACCAGCGACGTTTTCCGGCTCCGACGAAGTTGAGGCACGCTCCAGGTTCACCGGCAAATCGGGTCCCAGACTCCCAGAGTCACCAGCGACGTTTCCGGCTGCCGGCGAACTGGCGGAGAGACCGCTCGACGGAGGAAATTCCGGTGGAAGGTTTCGCTGCTAATTTTACATATCAAATTACTATTTAGTACCTAAACTTTCTACAAAAATACAAACAAGTTCAGCATTATGTATGAAATTTTATAATTTGATACTTCAATTTTTTTTGTTTTACATTTAGTACCTAAATCAATAAACATTTACAAACAGGTCCAAAGTGATGGATACCCATATCTAGGGATGGCAACAAAATCCGAACCCACGGGTACCCATCCGACCCAACCCGGTCTACGCGGGTAAAACCCGTGTTGACGGGTTTTGGGCCGGGTTCGGGTTTAAACCCGCTACACTATTCACCGGGTCGGGTTGGGTTTGGGTTTAGGTAAACCCGGCCCATGGGTACCCACTCACACACATATAATTACTTTCCCGGTATATTTAATATTCTAAATAATATATCTTCCTTAAACAACTAATATTCTTTATGTTTGTGGAGACATGTATAATTTGTTCTTTCTAATTGTTTAGAATGAAGTTGATATTATGAAGTGGAGAGTGAAGAAACTTAGTTGACGAGGAAGAAACTTTCAATTAATCTTATTGTTTATAGATGTTTATCTTTAATTTTGAACAATTTGTATTGATTATTTGCGGTTTGCTTGTCTAGTCTAGATTGGTGTTTTTTGTATGATTAATTTCTATGAGAAAATTGATGTTAAACTTTTATTTTGAATGAAACTTGTTATTGTAAATTTTTTATCACAAAAACCCACGGGTACCCATGAACCCGCGGATACCCAGCGGGTTGGGTTGGGTTTGAGTTTTTCAAACCCAACGGGTTTTACCCCGGGTTTTTTTGGCGGATAAACCCATGGGTTTGGGTTTGGGTTTGACAAAACCCGCCCCAACCCGACCCATTGCCATCCCTACCCATATCCAACCCATATCCATTTTCACATTGAAGACAAAATCCAAATCCAACTCCACCTACCCAAGTACTATCCAAACCTATATAGAATAAATCCATACCCTACCCATAATATATAAGTATAATTGGATTTGGGCAAGAATACCCATGAGTGGCTAATTGTCATCCCTATACCGGACCCCTTAAGTATACTCGCCATTTAATTATACTAATAATAACTAATGCAGCGTCACCACCACTGCTATAAATAATTAAGAACAACCATAAGTAAATAAAAATAGTTAACACCTAAAGACAGTGGGTGATGATCGGTGCAGTTGAGCGGAACTAGTGCGGTAGCCGGTAGGATTAGAGGTGGCCAGGTGGGCATTTGAGTGATTAATTCAGGGCAGCGGCGGATATAGGGGCCGTCCGGGCCACGGTCCAGTCCTCCCCTGGATCCAGAGCTAGTATATTTTTGTAAATTTTTTATATTTGGTATTTGTTTTAGTGTTTGTTGGGTTACGGTCAAGTAATTTCCGCCTCTTTTTCTGATGTGGCCAGTGTTCTACCCTATCTAGGATCTGCCGCTGATTCACGGTTTAATGCCGATCAACCTACAGATAAATCAAACGATAGTAGGTGGATGATTGATGTGTCTATTATTTTAAGTATATGATCGGTGGAATTTATATTTCATTTTACATTAAATATGCACGCTACTTTGGATAAATTATCAAATATATATTCATTATCATTATTTTCGTTTGTTTGTTTGGGCCTTGGGAGAGGCCTGGGGCAGCCGGGCAGGCATAGATACTTTCCTTTCCTCGTTAGCTCGATGGGATCCTAGGTATATTTTTGGACGTACATCAGATGGATGGGTGTATTATATGCACAAATATACATAGGATCCAATTTAGCTAATCTTCCTTTTAATCCGTAATTAATTCTGTATTTTGTTCTAATTAAAAGCGATCCAGTGCAGACCACAACAATATCATCACTAATCACTGTCATCAACGGCAATCCTTAATTAATTTGTCGTTTCGGCTAACATTAGCTTGGAAGGAAAGGATTAATCTAAGCATGCTCCCACCAAGCAAAACAAAATAGAATAAAAATAAAAGAACAGAGGATAATTAATTATAATTAGTGGCTCTCATTTTCAACCTGATCATTCCATTCTCAATTCTCAATTCTCAACTCCTCATCTTGGTAGCTTGTCCTTAATTTTGGATATCGTAAAAGAAAAAACAAGGCCCGAATCTTCTGAAGAAATGCATGTACGTATGATGAAGAGAGGGTAACAGAGTTACCACAAAAATTCTTTATTAATTGGATGGGTATGGGTCTGCTCCAAAACAGAAAAATGATTTGATCCAAATTCTATTGGGTTTGGGTAAAACTCATACCCTAAGACCCATTTGACATGCCTACCCAATCTTATGAAGAAATGCATGTACGTATGATGAAGAGAGGGTAAAAGAGTTACCACAACAATTCTTTATTGAGAAGACGCAAATAAGAAGAAACGCACATACATACGATACGAAGCAAACGAGAAAGAGTTGGACATGCAAGTTCTGCATGCATGGCGCATTTAATTAATTTATTGGCACCAAAAGTCCCAAACAAACAGCATCAATCCGATGTTGATGCGGAAGGTGGAGGGGTGAGTGGCTCCTCCTTGGTGTCATAATAGTAGTTGAAGCTGTTAACGCCCGTGAAGACTCCGTCGTCCTGATAGGTAACAACGGGTATGCCATCCAAGCCAATGTCTCTCTGAGTGTACGAGAACGGAACGTCACAGATACCTCGAGTCGCCACCAGATTCACCGTCATCAGAGTATGGGGACTCACCACGGCGTCGTACTCGTTGGTCAGCTCCTCGGACGTCGTCTCGGAGTCACCCCAGGTGGTGGATCTGGACGCCTCCGCGGAAACCTCGATCGCTCCTGCCACAAGCATCGGCACGCCGGTCTGTATCGTGATCTTTACCCCAAGCTTGAGGGTCACGTTTCCTTGCCACATGTGGCTTTTGGTTTCCGTGTGCTTTAAGGTGACCTTCTGGTTCACAAGGTTGGGACCCTCGTTCCTGACGAACCCCGAGGCTGCGACGATGATGTTCTCGTCGTAGATTCTAGCATCCGGGACGCGGAATGCTACGTCGTAAATCTCCCTACTGATCACCAGCTCCTCCACCTGGATTCTCGCCTTCTGGCTTATGGTCGACAACTCGGCAGCAAACACGTCTCTGTCTTGAACATAAGTGTGCCGGATACATATTTTGTTGTTGCCCTGGCAGCGCAACGCGATGATGTTGTCATCTACCTGCACGGGCCAAAACACCGTGTCCGGGTCCTTCTCACTCGTGTCGTTGGAGTCCGCCCCGATAACGTCCAAATCATTCGACTTCCTGCACATATATATATATATGTATAGGTAAGGAAGTGGTTAAGTATCATACACGGGCCTGTATAAGATCCAGCTGGTTTGACCAAGTGGTCGTGTGTTCGAATCTCCACGACCCCCAATATTAATAGTTGTCTTCAAGCACATGGTATGGTGAGCCTGTGCAAACTTCAAGCCCATAAGTCGGCTTTCATTTGAGGGGGCGTGTAAGGAAGTGGTTAAGTACCACACATGGGCCTGGATAAGATCCAGCATAACATTCTCCAACAACTCGAGTTATTGGGCCCAACTGGTTCTTGACATGGTATCAGAGCCTTCTGTGACCGAGAGGTCTTGTGTTCGATTCCCAATGACCCCCATTTGTTAAGCACATGGTATTCTTGTCTTCATGAACCAGTTGCTCCCAATAATTCGAGTTGTTGGGAGAAGGTTATGCTAGATCTTATACAGGTCTGTGTGTGGTGCTTAACCACTTCCTTACACGCCCCCTCAAACGAAAGCCGACTCATGGGCTTGAAGTTTGCACAGGCCCAACCATACTATGTGCTTGAAAGACAACGGTTGTTGGGAGAGGTTCAATCGTGGATCATATACCACAACACTAACAACTGGTTCATGACATGATATCAGAGTTGGTTTGTCCTTGAGATCACATGTTCAAGTCCTCACGACCTCCAATATTAACTGTTGTCTTCAAGCACATGGTATGGCGGGCCTGTGCAAACTTCAAGCCCATGGGTCGGCTTTCGTTTGAGGGGGCGTGTAAGGAAGTGGTTAAGTACCATACACGGGCCTGTATAAGATCCAGCATAACCTTCTCCCAACAACTCGAGTTATTAAGACCAACTGGTTTATGACAATATATATACTTTAAATCTACCAGTGAAATAAAATCTACAGCTTTATATATATATACCTCCAGAATTGATTGGTGGCAATGTTTTTTATCCTAATGGCTCCAGCTGAGGTGGTGAACAACTCACTGCCTACGTACTCATCGCCGATGTCCTTGCCGTAAAATATAAGGCTACCCCCTGAGGGCTGAATGTAAAGCCCGTCGCCGCCTTTAAACGCCGCGAGCTGGGGCAGCACCACGAGAGATTCCCGATCCACCATCTCGTACGCGTCCGTGAGGAGCGTGAGGTCGGGGTGTTCCGACACAGCTTGCACGAAGTTGTGGAGAGGGGACGAGCTGTCGTCGAACAGGGTGGCGTACCGGTTCAGCTGCACGTGGCGGAATCGGATAACCCTGTTGTCCGATTCCGCCAGGACGGGCTCGAAGAGCGTGCACGACCAGTTGGATTGGTCCTCTTCGGGATCCTTGGCCACGGCAGCGATCCACGGTTCGCCGATGGCCGCTGCGGCCCAGTACTTGTTGTTGTACGCGCACCGGATGTGGACCAGGTACGTCGAGGTCGTGGAGGCCTCCACGTGGAACTTGGCGAGAGGGCTCGCGGCTGCATCTGCCGTTGCCTGGAGGTAGCGTTGGAATGTGATTTCTTCGTTTGTGTAGCGGATGTACTTGCCGTTGTACTTGCTCTTCAGAATCACGGTTCTTGGGATTCCCCGGGGAAGCTCCAATGCCGGTGCCGCCATGGTTAATTATCAAAATTATTTTTATGAGATAGGATCGATCGATCGATCGATGAGTGTTGTTCGATCTGCTCCATGCCCTCTCTACTATTTATAGGACTAATTTGGCTACGTGTGGTGGATTTTGCAAAAGTAGCGAGCTTTTAGAAAAGTGTACGTTTTAAAAAAAAAATTTGATTAAGTGTTTTGCTGAAAAGTTATTAGAAGTGTTTTGTTCAAAATTTATATTGAATAATATTATTTTTTATTTAAATTTTTTTAATTTCATATACATGAAGTAAAATTATATTGTCCGATATCAAATTAAAATATGATAAGAATAATTTTTATTTTTATTTTGCATTAATTTATACAAAAATATTTTTTTTCAGATTTTCAAAGATCGAGCTCTTAGAGATGAACAGAAAAACCAGGGTGCTAACACTTTTACTATGTTTTAAAACATTGGTCGTTCAACGTGCAAATCGAACTTCTACCATAAGAAAATTTATATATTTGTACTATAATATATCTTCAGTTTTTATCATAATATAAAATTACAAGTTCAATTTGTGTCATAAAGAATTTATAATAAAAAATAGAAGTATAAACTCATCATGTCTAGCTAATTTTCTAGTTGTTCCAAATTTGATGAACACTATTATGCTTTGTATGGATTGAGTTGGAATCTGTGATATAGACGTATTGTTCTCGTTCTAACGATTTTTTCTTGATTTATCATGTGCAAGTATCAATAGTTGCATGTCTATTGTGTACGTATTTTGTTTTGTGCATATGGGTAAGAATGCGAGGTGATTTTGCATGCTTGGTCACTCGTAGAAAAGAAGGAATTGATCGGAGCCACTAACAACATGGTCATGTAGTTCCTCCTTATTAGGTTAAAATCTTATATGAAAATTCAAAAATATTGTTAATGCTTTGGTTTCATGGACTTGTAAAAGTGTTAATACATGTGCGAAATTGAGAATTTTCACGGTGTAACCGTGTAAGATATGAACTTTCGTCTGTCTTGAATTCAAACTTGTATTAAAGGGGTTCGTTTCCAGACCACGTCGTCTTGGCCTCTAGATTTTACTTTGAGATTTTTTTAGTTGTGTTATTATTACTACACGTGCGAAAGATAGCATTTGAAGAAATCGCTAAAGCAGTAACTGCGACCGCTGCTGCAGGGGGACCACGTTAATGTCCTTGTTGCGAAAAGGGGACCAGCAACTTTGGTCTTGGGGTGGCATCCACTCGTTAGCATCAAATGAGCCGAAAACTGTGTCCTTTTCTGCAGGATCATTTTCCAGGCGTTCTAAACGTGGATGGATTTCATATTTACTTGTCTTGTGTAGTGGTGACCATGAAAATTGAAACATGGGCGAACTCACGGGTCCAAACAAAACAAGAGAGCGGTATATACGACGAACATGACATAGCAAATTGGCAATTAGCGGACGACTGTTTGATGGAAACAGCGACTACTGTCCTTAGCCGCGGGACCAAGTTATCGTCAGAGTAGTGGGCGCATTCACGCCACTAGTCGACCCAATTGTCAAATACATGCATAATGCTAACACTTTTACTATGTTTTAAAACATTGGTTGTTGAAGGTGCAAATCAAACTTGCACCATAAGAAAATTTATATATTTGTACTATGATATATCTTCAGTTTTTATCATAATATCAAATTACAAGTTCAATTTGTGTCATAAAGAAATTTATGAAATAATCCTATAACGTAAAGTAAAACGAACACGAGACACAGTTTTACGTGGTTCTTCCCATTCGATGTGAATGAGCTTACGTCCACGGAGAAGTTATGCTATCTCAGCTTGTATTCATAGTACGCAGCCGATTACAAGATACATATATATATAACCCTATTCGACTAATCCCCTAGGGTTATGCTTAAGCTTCAGCCGAAGACAATGAAAAGACACATATGTCCTTCGGCCAACACGACTACGTACTCAACATTCCTTACACTCCCCCACAAACTGAGGCATGCAGGTTACAAATGCCCAGCTTGGAGAGAAGCTCATGAAAACGATCACCAGCAAGGCCTTTGGTGAACAGATCGGCAAGCTGTGCCTGGGAAGAGATCTTCCGAGGCATGATCTCATGGGAAGCAACATGATCCCGAACAAAATAACAGTCCATCTCAACGTGCTTGGTGCGCTCATGGAAAACCGGGTTAGCGGCTATATGAAGCGCCGCCTGGTTGTCACAATAAAGAACTGTGGGAGACGTGAGACGAACACCAAGATCACCAAGAAGAGCACGAACCCAAATGACTTCACTGACAGTGCTTGCCATAGCACGGTACTCGGCTTCAGCTGATGACCGAGCAACTACAGATTGCTTCTTGGTACGCCAGGAGACAGGAGCGCCACCAAGAGTAACAAAGTAACCAGACGTAGAACGGCGAGTGGATTGACAACCACCCCAGTCTGCGTCGCAATAAGCTGTGAACTGAAGTGAACTACTCGAGGGAAGGAGAATGCCCTGTCCAGGAGCACGTTTGAGGTACAGAAGAACTCTTTCGGCACCAGCAACGTGAGCTACAGTAGGAGCATGCACATAACGGCTGAGGATATTAACAGCATAGACAATATCAGGGCGCGTGACCGTGAGATACTGGAGGCGCCCAACCAAACGACGATAAGCTGCAGCTTCCTCGGCTGAGACACGAACTGAACTCTCATCAGAGCGAGTAAGGGAATGATGTTTCTCAATGGGGAAAACACTAGGGCGACTGCCGGAGAAACCACTGTCACGGAGGAGATCCAACGTATATTTACGCTGACTGAGGGCAATGCCTGCACGAGACCGAGCAACCTCGATTCCCAGGAAATACTTGAGAGGACCCAAGTTCTTGATGCCGAACTGCCGATGTAAAGTGTCTTTAACTTGCTGAATGAAAACTGAATCATCACCCGCTAGGATCACATCATCGACGTAAATTAGAGCCACAACATAGGTACCGTGACTCCGACGAACAAAAAGGGAGTAATCAGCATTAGAACGCTGAAAACCAAGACCAGTAAGGGTAGTGGTGAACTTTGCATACCAATTTCGCGATGCCTGCTTCAGACCATAGATGGATTTATGAAGTCGACATACTCGCGTGTCACCAGGAGCTGCAAAACCGGGAGGTATCTGCATATAAACCTCCTCCTGAAGATCCCCATGCAAAAATGCATTATCCACGTCTAACTGGTGGACAGCCCAGCCACGAACAGCAGCAACAGCAAGTAAACAGCGAACACTAACTAACTTAGCCACTGGTGCGAACGTATCCTCGTAGTCGATCCCTTCGGTCTGAGTAAACCCCTTCGCCACCAAGCGAGCCTTATAGCGCTCGATATTCCCATCCGGTGTGTACTTAATTTTATATACCCATTTGGAAGCGACTACACGCTTACCAGGAGGTAAACTGACAAGAGTCCAGGTACCGTTGCCAACCAAGGCATCAATTTCACGTTGCATGGCAACCCGCCATGCTTCATAACGAACAGCTTCCCGATAGCTCGAGGGTTCAGACTGACTGGAGACCGCAGCCAAGAAACTACGATGTCGGGGGGAGAAACCTGTGTAACATACAAAGTTGGACATCGGATAGGGAACGTTGGATGGCGGCAGTTCAACGTCATAGCTGTCTAGGCGACGAGGAACTTGTCGCGATCGGAGACTTCGACGAACTTCATGCACAGGCTGCTCGACGGGAGCGACGGGTGAAGGACACTCGCCAAGTGATGGGGAAGCAGACTTGTTTAAGTCGGCAGGGGAGGCAGCAGGTGGCTGCTGGACAGTAGCCTCAATACTTGGCCCATGATCTTCATTATTGGCCACCAACTCATCATCAACCACTGGTGCGGAAGCGGAAAGCATGGGAGATGGGGATGATGATGTTGGTGTATGGTAGGGGAAACTCCCCTCCACAAAATGCACATCCCGTGACGTGTAGAATGTACGGGTCACAAGATCAAATAAACGGTATCCCTTTTGTGACGCAGGGTACCCAACGAAAACAGAGCGCCTCCCCCGTTCACCGAACTTGGATAGACCTTTATGAGTGTCCTTCCCGTAAGCCAAACATCCGAAGACACGAAGATGATCGTATGGAGGCTGCCGACCAAGTAACACTTCATAGGGAGTACGATTTTGAAGTACCTTAGTAGGAAGACGATTGATAAGATATGTAGCAGTAAGTACGCACTCACCCCAGAACTGTAGTGGAAGATTGGCTCGAAACCGCAAAGCTCGAGCTGTTTCCAGTAAATGATGATGCTTACGCTCGACAACACCATTCTGTTGAGGTGTGTCGGTACATGATGTCTGCAAGATAATGCCATGGTCATCATAGAAACTACGCAAACTGGTCGTTTGAAATTCCATTCCGTTGTCTGCTCGAATGCGAGCAACCTGCTGCCCAAACTGTGTTGCAGCCATGTTTATGAACATTTTCAAATAACTCTCAACTTCGGACTTATAATTCATCAAATAAATCCAGGTAGCTCTACTGAAATCATCAACGACTGTGAGAAAATAACGAGCAACATTCTGTGTGGAGACCTTGAAACCACCCCAGATATCCACATGAATTAGCTCAAAACATCGACTAGTCTTTATAGAACTCTTAGGAAAAGGCAACCGAGTCTGTTTAGCTCGTACACAGAAATCGCAAGTCTCATTCTTGCTCTTATTCTCAATAGAACGAAAAGATAAAGGAGTCTTCTTGGGTGATGGGTGACCCAACCGGGAGTGCCAAAGCTCCCCCATTCCTCCGTCATTGCTAGCAGCGGCCAAGACACTGGACTTCTCGGCTCCAAGCAGTCAAAGGTAATATAGCCAATCACGAAGTTGTCCCGTCCCAATTGTCTTCTTGGAGTGTAAGTCCTGGATGACGCAAAAATCGCGTAAGAATGTCAATGCTACATCAAAGTCCCGAGTGAGTCTGCTGACGGACAAAAGATTGCATTTGAACAGTGGTAAACTCAATACACGACTAAGCTTCATTCCATTCGACAAACTGACATCTCCAACACGCTTAACAGTTACACTGTCCCCATTCGGAATACTGACCGGTAAGTAGCCTGGTACTTCACTGGAGTTCTCTAACAACGACTCATCATTGGTTATGTACTCATTGCATCCCGAATCGATGATCCATTCAGATGCGGAAAGAATATTACCTGCCATGTTAACTTGCGGCTCCGAAGACGCGGGCTGTCCGCCATTGGCATTGAGAAACTGAAGCAATTGTTGTACCTTATCCGAGTTAAGGCCTGGAATACTTACCCCAGCGCCGGCAGAGGATTGAGCAGCACGAGAGTTGTTTGGACGTGTGCTGCGTTCCCTGTCTCCTTGCCGAGGCTTCTTCTCCGGCCAACCAATCAAGTCGAAGCAATTTTCTTTTACGTGACCAGTCTTTTGACAGTGGCTACATCGAACACGTTCCTTCCGATCAGAGCTCCTGCCCCTCTCGTCTCTTTTCCCAGACTCCAAGACGTCGCGCTCTTGTTTGACCTGGAACGCTGCAGCATCAACCGTTGGCCTTCGGTTCGCTGCAATCTGTTTATGTTGCTCTTCAGTAGCAACAAGCCTATAGGCTTCAGCAAGCGTTGGCGTCGGCTTCATGGCCAGGATCTGAGTCTTCACCGTACCAAATACATCTCCTAGTCCCATGAGAAAGTCAAAAAGCCTTTCATTCTCCAAGTTATTCATCACCTGCTTGCTTACATCACATGTACACTGTCCACACGTGCAACGCGGAACAGGAGTGATTGTCTGCATTTCCTCCCATATCGCGCGGAGCTTGGTGAAGAAAGTGGACACGAAAAGTTTCTCTTGACGCAGCGAACTCACCAGCTGCCGAAGTTCGTACGCGCGAGGTGCAGATCCCTTTCCAAATCGCGCCTCTAGGTCCAGCCACATCTCTCTCGCCGTCTTGGCATAACGGATCGAGCTTCTCACTTCTTTATCCATGGTTGTTTTCAACCAGCCCTTAACAAGGGCGTCACATTGCAACCACGCGGTTTGCAATTCTCCTGCCGCTTCCGGCTTAGCAACAGTACCGTCCACGATACCCAGTTTATTCTTTGCGATTAGGGCTTCGGTCATGTCCGTAACCCATTCCCCATAATTGGAATCATTCAACAGTTCACCGACAAACAGCTGACCAGGGTTGTCCGATGCTTGGATACGTAACGTAGCGGGAATCACAATGGTAGCTCCTGCTCCATTGGTGCCGCCGATCACAACATCGCCAGTTCCGCCGCCGCTCATCGTGAAGACCTAGATTGCGAGCACCAGCTCTGATACCATGAAATAATCCTATAACGTAAAGTAAAACGAACACGAGACACAGCTTTACGTGGTTCTTCCCATTCGATGTGAATGAGCTTACGTCCTCGAAGAAGTTATGCTATCTCAGCTTGTATTCATAGTACGCAGCCGATTACAAGATACATATATATATATATAACCCTATTCGACTAATCCCCTAGGGTTATGCTTAAGCTTCAGCCGAAGACAATGAAAAGACACATATGTCCTTCGGCCAACACGACTACGTACTCAACATTCCTTACAATTTATAAGAAAAAATAGAAGTATAAACTCAACTTGTAGCATAAAAACAAAAATATAAATAATGTTATTGTCAGTCAGGTCGTTAATTAATCACTTATTATTAGTCATTATCTACCAATACTATACTGCGAGGTCGGCATTCCCACGCATAATTTGTCCTTTTAGCCGGCCGCTCCTTGGAAGGAAAGGTAAGTTAGGTGTACCCCTAAAGAAGATGATCAGATTCCGAAACTTATTGAGATATTGTATTAAACTATTAACGCTAGTTTAAGGGTACTGTTTCGCTCCAGCGGTGACGCTGCCTAAGTGACTATAATTTGTCATTTGGTGTACAACGTTAAATTTTGGGTCCCAAGAATATAGAATCTGATTAATACAATTCTAAACAAACACAAAATAACGGCTGTACGGGCCATCTATTTGGTCGTTTGTGTAGCGGATGTACTTGCCGTTGTACTTGCTCTTCAGAATCACGGTTCTTGGCATTCCCAGGGAAGCTCCAATGCCGGTGCCGCCATGATTAATTATCAAAATTATTTTTATGAGATAGGATCGATCGATGAGTGTTGTTCGATCTGCTCCATGCCCTCTCTACTATTTATGGGGCTAATTTGGCTACGTGTGGTGGATTTTGCAAAAGTAGCGAGCTTTTAGAAAAGTGTTTAAAAAAAATATATATATGAGATAGACGAATTCATATAATCTAAATGACAAGTTGATATAATTTAAGATAGCTAAATAGGATCCTACGTATATTTGTACGCATATCGACTGATAGTGATGATACAATCAATATGACAAGTTGATATAATTTAAATGACAAGTTCATATAATCAAAATGACAAGTTGCTACAAGCCTTAGCTATGACAAGTTGCTTTAATGTAAAGAAAATTGTGTCTCGTTTATAATTTATTATCTTTTATTTTTAAGATTTTGAGTATATGCACAAATATATGTTATTTATAAATTAAAGATAAGTCATGCATCATAAATTGTTTAGATACTAATTACTATTAAACAACATGTTACTAGAGATTGACATTTATGAACTAAAAAATATAATACTTAAGCTCGGAGGCTATTTGGTGAATGCTTTGAGATAAAAAGAATTTGAAATATACGTCAGACCGGGGGACATGTTACGATAATTACTATGAAATAATAATCACCATGGTTAAGAAACGAAAATTGGGTATAACAAAAAAAAATATTATTTACCTTTTTAATAAATTACATTGTAGGAAGTTGCAAAAATATAATAATCACCATTGCAGAAATAAAATCAATACCGTTATAAAAAAAACAATACCATTACACTAAAACTACCAATATAAACAATATATATTATTACAAGAGTCAAACCAATACCAAAATCAACCAATACCACTACTACTATGAGAGCAAATAATACCATTTCAGAAAGAAATCAATACCATTACATAAATGAATCAATACCATTTCATAGATGAATCAATATCATTTCATAAATGAATGAATGAATACCATTAGAACGAACAAGATGGTGCCGCGCAGAAGACGTGATACATCGGGGCTGAGTTAGGAGTGGTGTTGGGAGGCTGGTGCGTCGGGATTGAAGCAGGCGGCCGGCGGAACTAGTGTGGCGGGAGTTTGTGGCTGCGGCTAGATGGGGAGGGAAAGGGTGGGGTGAGGGATCCGGGGTGAGAGAAGAGAGGCGATAGGAGGGGGTTTGTGGGGTGGGGAAGGAGCCAGGGACGGCGTGGGAAAGGTGGTGGTACGTGGTAGGATGGGGTGGGACGACTGGAGGATAGGGATGGCAACAAAACCCGAACCCACGGGTACCCATCCGACCCAATCCGGTCAACGCGGGTAAAATCCGTGTTGACGGGTTTTGGACCGGGTTCGGGTTTAAACCCGCTACACTATTCACCGGGTTGGGTTGGGTTTGGGTTTGGGTTTAGGTAAACCCGCCCCGTGGGTACCCGCCCACACACATATAATTACTTTTCCGGTATATTTAATATTCTAAATAATATATCTTCCTTAAACAACTAATATCTATATGTTTGTGGGGACATGTATAAATTGTTCTTTCTAATTGTTTAGAATGAAGTTGATATTATGAAGTGGAGAGTGAAGAAACTTAGTTGATGAGGAAGAAGCTTTCAATTAATCTTATTGTTTATATATGTTTATCTTTAATTTTGAATAATTTGTATTGATCATTTGCTCTTTGCTTGTATACTCTAGATTGGTGTTTTTTGTATGATTAATTTGTATGAGAAAATTGATGTTAAACTTTTATTTTGAAAGAAACTTGTTATTGTAAATTTTTACCACAAAAACCCACGGGTACCCATGAACCCGCGGATACCCAGCGGGTTGGGTTGGTTTTGAGTTTTCAAACCCAACGATTTTTACCCCGGGTTTTTTTGGCGGATAAACCCATGGGTTTGGGTTTGACAAACCCGACCCAACACGACCAATTGCCATCCCTACTGGAGGAGAGACGGCGGTAATAGCTAAGGATGACAATGGGTCAGGTTGGGTTGGGTTTTGCCAAATTCAAATCCAAACTAATGGGTTTATCCTTAAAAAAAATCAGGGTAAAACCCAACCCGCTGGCTATCCGCGGGTTCATTTGGTACCTATGGGTGTTTGTGGTAAGAAATTTACAATAACAAGTTCCTATCAAAATAAAAGTCAAACATCAATTTTATCCATACAAATTATCAATACATAAACCACCAATCTAGAAAATTCAAACAAATCACAAATTACCCGTACAAATTGTAAATTAGATTGGGGAAGATTAGAATTAGGGTAGGGTTTCTAGAGAGTAGGCTACTGAATAAGTGTGACGATACCCATGGGTCGGATTTCCCTAAACCCAAATCCAACACAACCCGATTAAAGTGTAACGAGTTTAAACCCAAACCCGGCCCATAATTCGTCAACATGGATTTTATCCGCGTTGATCGTGATAAGTCGGTACGAGTTTTATTGCCATCCCTAGTTGTTATTGTTTATTTGTTTATGGCTGTTCTTAATTATTTATACCAGCAGTGACGCTGCCTAAGTGCCTATAATTTGTCATTTGGTGTACAACGTTAAATTTTGGGTCCCAAGAATATAGAATCTGATTAATACAATTCTAAACAAACACAAAATAAGGGCTGGACGGGCCATATATTTTATGTGCAGCCAGTTGGCTATTGTTTGATACAAGGTTTCTCTTTAATATATAACAATAACAACCAAGAATAAGAATAATAATATTCGGGAAGTTAAGGAATTATAATAAGAATTATATTTATAAAAGAAAATTAATTGTATCGTTATCATTGTGTTATTTTAGAATAAGAATTAATATTTATAAAAGAAAAATAATTGTATCGAAATCATTGTGTTATTTTAGAGAGCAGGGGGTTTGGCAGATTATTATCTTTACTGCTATATAATTTCTAACTTAATCATTCGATACTCTCATTTGTAGGTGGGACGCGGCGGTGCGGCTAGGGTCGCATTCGGCTGGAGAGATGGTGGTGATGGGCCCGGATGGGGTGGTTGTTGGTGCGAAGGGGGTGTGCTTCCCGGAAGTTGATGATCCAATGCTGGTAGAGGTGTTGGCCCTCAAGGAAGCTATCCTTTGGTGTCGAAGCACGGCCTGTTGCTTTGTTCGCTTTGAGGGGGATGGGAAGGTGGTGGTGGATAGGCTTCTCTTGGCTCAGGGGAGTGATAGTATGGCGGGAGCTATTTTTCGTGAGGTGTTGCTCTACATGGCTGAAAATGGAGGGTTTAGTGTTCGGTGCGTTGGTCGGCGTATTAACAGGGTAGCCCATTTGGTGGCTAGAAAGGCCCTTCTTTTGTACCCGATAGCGAGTCGTTATTTTGATTTTGTAGCCTGGTTGAGGCAGATGGTGTAATGATCTATTCTTAAATATCAATATATGATTATCTTTTGCTAAAAAAAAATCAAATGATGAATGAAGAATGACGACACAAAGCTATTGGGTGAAGAAATGTTCTCATACAGGAGTTCGACATCTAGCTGGATGATGAATATAATTAATGCATATGAATATCAGTTTGTTGAGCGAGCTTTCCTATATTACTTTCGAGTATCAGATAGCCAACTTGATAACTAAAAAAAGGGTCGCTAAAACTAGTCATTGCTGCTTTATTGCTTGCATATTTATTGATGGTGCGAAACGGTGTTGAAGTGTACGTATTACATTCTGACAGATCGATCATTACTATAAGTTGAATTCAATAAGAAAGACACATATACTTGGTATATTACCAACTTGTATTCAAAATATTCATATCCAGTATTCATTACATATAAATTTTAATCGTTTACAGAAAAACATTAGTAGAAGCGGCATCAATAGCTTATAACTAGAAATCCCTTTCATGCATCAATCCATTACCATCCTCTAAGCCATTCACAAATCGGAACCACAAACTCTAGAATCGAGAATTCTAAATCATAACAACGAAGGCCAGAAATCTCAAGGAGACCCACGGAAACAAACGACAGGGATAAACCCTTATTCGAACGTGAAGGGAGCGGCGACAAAAGTAGATGGTTCAGAAGAAGTGGCGAGATAGAGGAAGGAAGCTGGGGGAACGGACTGCGGAGAGGAGGCGTCGACGAGTGAAGCGGAAAGGACGAGCTAGGAGAAATGGAAGGTTGTGAAGGAGATAATCGAAAGGACGAGTAAATGATGGTAGAATCGGCCTTCACCACTCCTTCATGTACTCAACAACCGCCGTGTGCCGCCTTCCCGCTTCTTCAGCTTTGGTCGACATTACAGGTAGAAGCCGAAGTACTTGTGTATTTTAATTGAGGCAGATTGCTTGATTGAAGAATTGAAATGAGAAGATTCATGGATGGTTTTGAATTGGGGAAGAAGAAGAAGAACAAAAGTTGGAGAGAGAGAGAGATGAATTTTCTTTTTTGCAAATGAAATAGAGAGAGAAGAATTGAAATGGGAAGAGAGGAGTGAAAAAGTATGGTGGTCCCTCCTCTTTGGCTTAGCCAGCTAGCAGGCTCTCATTCTTCAATTTAATAGTAAATGGAGCCCTTCCTCAAGCCAACAAATAACAACCATCCATTTCATTTTTTATTGATGTGGCCGAATCCTAGCCCCATGAGTATATACTCGCATAATAGCCGGATTGGAGGGACCATAGTCCCTCTCAATTTTTCAATATAGATAAAATTACATGTAAAATTTATACAATTTAGGAATTAGAATAGTCAGTAAAACTTTAGCACCCCTCCTCCAATTACCACAATTCAAGTCTTTCCCCCGTGTTATGATTTCTGGCTTCGCCATTACTAGGGATAGTTCTGATAAGCTCCTTCAAATCCGCCATGCGTCATCACTGTACGTGGGCACCGGGCCGTGCCGCCCACGGGCTAGCACGGCACGACACGACACGGTTATAGCACGGCACGAGCACGGGCACGAAATAAATGGGCCAGCCTGGCACGAGCACGAATAATTTATGGGCCATGTCGGGTCTAAACTTCATGGGCACGAGCACGGGCACGGCACGGTATGTAAGTGGGCCATGTCGGGCCTAATATTTTCGAGACTTTATTGAGTATAAGAACGGACAGGGCACGAAAATAATATTTATTTGATAGAAAATAAGTATTAAACGAATTATAGGTTCAAATATTACAAAACACAAGTAGAAAAATAATTGTTTGTTGTTATTAGAAGTGTCATAAAGATATATACGTAATTACTAACATAAGTAAAAATGGACAAAGAATTAAACAAAGCCAAATCACACTCGCTATACTTTCAATTTTCTTTTCCCCCCTATTTGTTACTTTTCTCAAACATTATCGGTTAATACTATCTTCCCCCATCCAATTTTCACCTTCTTTTTCATTCTCTCTTTTGTTTTCGTCCTTTTCATTAAACACGAATACGAGCATGGCACGAGCACGAATAGGCACGGCACGAATCGAACCGTGCCCGGGCCTGGGCCGGGCCTAGCAAAGTTGACAAATAGGCTTGCATGGCACGGCACGAAAACTGACGGGCCGTGCCAAGCACGGCACGAAATAAATGGGCCTGAAGCGTGCCCGTGCCGGCCCAAGCACGGCCCAGCGCCCATGTACAGTCATCACATGCCTCGTACTTTATATTAATCATGCACCTCAATCACTTGTTAGTTTTCGGCAGGAATCTCCAGACACATGACATAATTAAGGCTGCCACTTTCAGTAGGGCTAGCTATTTGGTCTGAGTTTTTTAGTTTTACCCAAAACCGGACCGTATAACCGGGACCGGTTAGTAAACAATCCAATCCAATATTTGGGCTTAGATTTGAGGTAAAAAACCATTCGTGACCGGATCAAAAACTGGATATAGACCGGATAAGAGAGCTCAACGCCCAAAACTTAAGGGTAATTTGCATAAATGGTCACAAACCTTTGCACTTAGTACAAAACTTAACCAACTCCTCACCCTTTCAGGCCTTAGGCCACTCAAATCCCCACAATTTCAATATAAAATCAAGACCGAGTGGGACCGAACCGGGTCAAGACCGGACTAGATAAAGACCATACTGTATCCAATCCAATCTTTGGTCCTTATATTTTCAAAACGACCGGACTAGACTGGATCAATTTGGGCCAATTTAACCGAACCGGACAGTATATCCACCCGTAACTTTCAGTACTTTACTGGATAGACACTTGGTTTATCGTTATACGCCGTCCTAACCCCAATTTTGGGGCTCTCCGCAATGCCTGGTCATTTGTACGGCCCAATGGGCTTCGTAGCCCAACCCAGTCTCTTGCTCATACACACTGTTTATTGGACTTTTTAGTCTGGTCCTTTCAGAACATATCCAACACTTTTTTTTATGTTGGATGCAGTGCATTTCAATTTTCATTCACAACTTTACACGTAATATTAGTTTAGGACATGCCCATTGTGCGAGGTACTATTTCGCTCAAGCAATTCTATTTTTTTCGTTTAATTGATTCGAGTATTTTCTGTGATAGTAGTATATATGATGATGTGACCAATGCTTTCGATCATAAATCAATTGGGTTTATTTTTATTTTTATTCGGTGCATTTCAACTTTCATTCACAACTTTATTTGTGTGGGTTTCACTTGTTTGAGAGGGTCATTAAATCTTTATTACTTTATCAACCAATTATATAGAGAAGATTAACGCTCTTTATTATTTTGATACAATTAATAGCTTATCATTTGAATTCCGGTATATAATGAAAGATTACATAACATAGTAACCAATAATAGTAGTTCAAAAATATTCTTTATTTTCTCTTTAAAATTTGATTGTCAGTGTGTAGTGGTGTTAACAAAACATAATTGCTATTTGTTAATATAAACAATAAACTAACTCTTTGTCATATTCAAGTGGGGTACATATTAATTGGATGACCCTGGTGCAATCTGCTCATCACCCACCAAATAAATGCTCATAAATTTTTTTTAATCTGCTATCACACATCAATCATTGACTCACTACAGTTTGAGTGATTTGCAAATTGGTCAATATTAAATGACAAAGAGCTAATCCCTTAAATAACATTTTCTTCATAATTTGAGTATAATTTGAGTGTTGTAGTGGTAGTAGCCCTTAAATTTTGGGTCCCAAAATATAGAATCTAATTAATACAACTCTAAACAAAACAAAATAAGGGCTGTACCGGCCATATATTCAATGTGCAGCCAGTAAGCTATCGTTTGGTACTAGGTTTCTCTTTAATATATACTAGTTCTTCTTGCTCGCGCTTCTCGCGGGGACTGTGTCAAATATAAAAATCATTTGTGACGTAAACTACCAAAATATGATAAACCACAACTTTGGCATCGTCGAATTATAAAATGCAAAAACAGGGTAATCCAAGTCTTGACATACCAATTTAAAGTTAAATACTAAGATCATCAATCTGATAACAAAATTATCAAAATAATTTACGACCAACATTATATATACATTCTAAATAGTATTTGTCTGTCAATACTATATAACATTGTAAAATTTCTCGCCATTATATATATACATGTGGTATAGCACTTGTCTGCCAACACACCATTATAAAATAAGAGAACCTTACAATAATACCACCAGAAAAACAACCTTAGATTAGTTGCATCGCCTACTGCAACTTACACATGCAAACAAAGAAGATTTGAACAACTAAGTTAGCATGATTAAATCTTAATATCGACAACTTCAATGATATACCAGGTTTCAAAATTTAGACCTTAGATTCATAGAGCCGAAGCTTCATATAAATGAGTCTACAGTCCTCTGTTGAATTTGGGTCCTCAACTGAAAATGACATGTATGCCGCCAAAAGAAAAACAGAGAACAAAAAACCATCATATTCAGCAGCCACAATCTGTATCGACGAACTGCAATTCCTCCTTCCATCAACGAATGCAGCTCAGACACCGACTCTGTTAGTAAATTGCCAAATCATCCAAACTATAATGAATAACAGGACATGAACAAAACAAAAAACGACTGAAAATTGATGATGTCAAATGGGCATCGAACAGGGGGCATTTACCTGTAACAGTATACAGTTTATCTTGATTCTTTAGGCTGCTTTTAAGGTCATTCTACCAGCAAAACAATACCTTGCTCCATTTCTCTGGAAAAGAAGAACCTCAAGATCTCTCTCAAACCGGCTGGACCTGGCAACTACCTCACCATGACAGTTCTCATCTACCCGAAACCACAAAAAGTTATCAGAAATTAAATATCCCCTGAGAGATACAGGATGCATGAAATCCAGAAACCAGCAGTAAATCAGACACGCAAAATGAATCCACCTTTGAGAGCAAGAACGGAGAATCGAAACCCAAACCAAGAAGCAGAGATTCACGAAGCCAAGACCAAAGCAACCAAAGAAAATAAGACCCAAGACACAGATGATCGCTTACTGCAAGGAACACGAAATTACCTTCCCCCCTTGGCTCATTCCAACATCGACCCACCTAAAGAAGGGCCAACAGAATAGATCACATGTCCTTTTTCATTCTACACCCAAAATTCAATATATTAAATGGAATTACGCCAAGTAAATGGGGAGAAGGAGAATCAAAAGAAAGTGAACTTACCGATTATCCTGGCCACTGTTGAAACTTCCTAAATCAGGTTATTCTTCCAAATTTGTTCACCACAGGCGCTTGTTGTCTCCATCGATCATTTAGAGCCTCCAACAACCGTATAACAGAGGGGTAATCAATTGGGAGAACCCCTTGTTTACGGATAGTTGGGTCGCTCAGCCGTGAACAAAGGTTGTGGATCTGCTCATGATCAGAGAACCAACTGTTGGGATGAATAGTTTTGAAAAGCTATAAATGAAATTCCTAATTAATTATCCAGTATTTTCCCATAATACGAAAATAGGATGGATAATTAATAAAAGGAATATTATGGAGATAATTAGAAATAATTATCTTAATAGATTATATTTTAATTATGAGAGTAATTATCTCCCTAATTAAAATGTAACTTATTCCCAAAGAAAGAAGGAACATTCTGGGTTTTCTGCTCCTATAAATAGCAGAACCCTCAGAGAGCAGAAACACGAGAAAGAGAGTGAGTTCATAGAGCTCCGGTTTTCGCACAAAACCGACGAGCAACAAAATCCGAGTGGTTGTTTTATCCTGGAGGCGATCGGCTGATAGTCTGTCGTGCGCAATGAAGGCAGTGCCGCGAACGTCTTAAAGAGAGCGACCTAGTCCGCGATCGGTAACTCTATTTTTCCTGTTCGATTTCTAACTATTTTAAAACGTTGTGTTACTGTCAAATCGACTGAACAGATTATCGTATCTGGCTTTGCAAATCTCAATCTCGGAACCGGTGATCGTAATCGAGACGCACGCATCGGGGACTAGACAATGGCGATTGGAAGAGAAAGGAAGGGAGTAATTTCGTGCCCTTCTCAATTCCGCGAGTGATTTTGTACTCGGGATAAAATAGTTTCAATTGTCTAGTTGATTGTTCCTATGCAAATTGCAATTGACTGCTTTTGTCCATAAGTCCTACCAGGCTCGAGATTGATTTTGTGCCTCACGACGGTTTTCCCTCCGACGGTCTGCGCTGTACTTTCTGGCCGCCACGTGATCGGAGATGGATCTATGCAATTAGCAACGAGAAGGCAATGAGAATTGAGTTTCCGTACGGCAACGTTGCGATTGGGAATATAAAATCGGAATAAAAATGGAGATTGATTTGGGACCGCAAGCTGCCTTAGTGTTGATTTTCCTGCTAAATAGCAACGCATGAAAGAAGAATTTATCTTCTTAATCTGGGCCCTTAAGTTATACTTTCGTGGGTTTATATGCTGTTTATTATTATTATTATTATTATTATTATTAATATTATTATTATTATTAATGAACTCCTAATATGACCTGATCCTCATTTTTCCTTATGGTGGGTTAATGACACAAATATTGTTTTTTTTAATTGCCACAAATATTGCGGATTAAAAAGAATTGACACAAATATTGTGTTTTTTAGTAAGGTTTGGGGCGGGACCACCAGAGACTCAGGCGGGGCTGATGTTTTAACCAGTTCTAGGCGCTGGCGCCCCAGTCTCAAGCGGCCCCGCCTCAGTTATATTTTTACCCAGTCTTAGGCGCTGGCGTCCGAGTCTCCAGCGGCAGCGCCCCACCCTTTTTTTTTAAATACCAAACCTCGGGCCCCTCCCACCTTATCTCCTCTTCTTCTTCCTTCCTCTTCTTCACTCCTCCACACCACACAC